ATCCTCCGCTTCTTCATCCCGCTCTTCCTCCTCTTCTCCCTCCTCCTCCTCCTCCTCCTCCTCCTCCTCCTCCTCCTCCTCCTCCTCCTCGAGGCATCAGGACCATGGGTCCGAGCGTTTTTCGGCGTCCGTTTTGTCCTGCCCCCGCGCCGAAAGCGCGCCATGGCCAGGGAGGTAACCCAGCGTCGGCTGCCGCATACCAGGTGAGGAAGCCCTACGGGGCATACACCTGGTAGCAGACCTGCGTCGCCCTGGCGCCTCAGCGTCGTCCACGGTCACGTCCACGGCAAGCTCCTCGGCGACAACGAGCAGCAACGTGAAGGCGGCCAAGACGAGCAACGCGACGTCAAGGACTCCTTTGTGCCGTACGCCCGCGAGACATACGACGCCCACGCCTGCCAGTGCGGGCTCCTCCACCGCAACGAGCAACAATGCGTGCGTGGTCGTGACAAACCGTGCGATCCATGCAGCACCTTCTCGAACAGTGCGCCGTCCACGGGCCCACCCACGGTCAACTCCGCGGCAGCAGTGAGCTGCAGCGTGAAGGCGGGCGAGACGAGCAGCAGCGAGGAGCCGAGGGTAGCAACGTGCTGGCAACCAATCTGCCGTCGAGCAGCGCGACATAGCGCGACGCCCGCGGCCTCTTCCACCGTAAGCTCCTCGACAGCACGCATCTGAGAGAATGCCACCGAGATGGGCAGAGCGATTCCAAGAACAACTCCGACGTGCAACACGATTGCTAGCCATTCAACGCCCACGGCCACCTCCACGATGGGCTCCACGGCAGTAGTGTGCAGCATGCGCGTGGCCGAAACAAGCAGCGCGACTGTAAGCAGTACCGTCTCGTGCAATGCGACGTACACGGCCCCTGCCACGGGCTTGGAGAACAAGCTTGAGGACCCAAAGGTATGTACAAACGCGAATCTGACTCGGAGCGCTTTTTCGTGCACACGTACGGCTCCGAGGGCGTCGTGGTGAAAGCTGACGGCACCAATCTGCAATGGGCCGAAGACCGAGTGCGCGGACCATGCTGGAAGATCTCAACATCACCGACGGGCGTGCCATGGTGTGCGCCGCGTACCTGGACCTCAGCTGTGATAGCATGCATGACCAGGGTAAGGTGAGAGCGCTGGTTGTGTGGTGAAGCGTGGAACGCGTGTTCGGTGCACATCGGCACAAATGCTCGTGCGTCGCACGCGTGCCCAACTTCGGTACCGCACGCGCTGGATGGGTCTTCGAGGTGCGGTTCCTGCGTCGTTCGTGCGTTCGCACCGATCTGCTGTGGAATTCAGTAGTGAAGGACTGTGATATGTGTCTTTAGCAAGGCGCAGCGGCCGGCGGGACCGCAGGACTCGGCGCTCCTCGGCGTAAGGCTTGCTCACCCTGTAAAGGCTCGGCGACTGTTCTTCGGGGCCCGCAACCCGCTTCGGCGCCAGCCGCCCAGCGGGGTTCGCGTGCGGGCGCGGCGGTAAGCATGTTAACCAGGGGCCCCTCCGCCTTATCCCCTCCTGTCCTACTCCCCCTCCCTCCCGCGACCCTCCGAATGCGCGATAAGGCCGCATCCGCCCCACGCACCTGCAGTGCCCTGAGGAGCCAACAGACCCCGCGGGGCAACAGCATACTCTTCTGATTATTTGCAACGCGGGGTAACAGCATATTCGTCTGTTTCTTGGCAATTGCGGAGGTTGCGAGTGAACGAAAGTCCCTGCTGCATTTTGTCACTCGAAGTCTTAACTGATAACCAACAAATATCTCCTCCTCTTCCTCCTCGGTGTTCATTCTCCTCCTCCTGATCCTCCTCCTCCTCCTCATCCTCTTTCGCGCTCCTAGATCGTCCTCGATCCTCCCCCACATCCTCCTCCTCATCCTCCTCCTCATCCTCCTCGATCCTCCTCCTCCACCTCCTCCTCATCCTCAACTCCTGATCCTTAAAAATGAATTATCCCTATCGCACCCCGAGACGCGTCAGCAAGGCAGGCCAGGCGTGCCGCCTGAGACTTCCTCATCATTTATGCTCATTTGGCTTGAAGTTTCAAAGAGCTTCACGGATGGAGGGCGGGTAGTTCTCAATATGTCTCTATCGCCTTAGCGCCGCGCACATGTGTGGCAAAAGTTCGCAAGAGCTTCGAGGATGGAGGGCGTTTCCTTTCAAAATGTGGATACCGCCGTAGCACCGCGCACATTGATCTTATGATTTTCACGGATACATTGCGGCTCCAATTCAAAATGTGGCTCTCGCCCTAGCGCCGCGCACATTCGTTTGGAACGTTCGCAAGAATTTCACGGATGGAACTGTCATCCTCATCGCCCATCGCCTCATTGTGGCCACTGTCATCCTCGCCGCCCATCGCCTGAGAAATTTATGCGCGCCACCCGGGGTGGCCACTTCACGAGAGCTGAATCTAACACACTCATGACAAGCACCCCGACAAGCGAGGCCGTTTCGTAGACGCACCCAAGGGAAAGAGTCGAACGGGTCCGGATCGTCTGGCAAACACCAAGAGGGTCTGGTGAGTAAGCGCCAATGTTGGGGGTCGGGGTGGATGTTCCTCCCTTTGACCTCTGCCGCCGAGAAAAGGCTGTTCTTTTGGCCGCGCCCGCCGCGCCACTACCACGACCACGACCACGACCACGATGAAGACCACGCCCGCCGCTGCGGCCGGGACGTTGCATATCGCGCTCCACTTTTAGCATCGGCCGCGCCCGCCGCGCCCCGCGGCACACGCGGGGCGTGAGCGCGCGCGCGCGTGGCCCCGGCGGCCACCGCGGCAGGGGCGGCCGTCCGCCTTGGGGGCGGCCCGCGCCGCGGCGGCGGCAACGACGACGACGACGACGACGACGACGACGACGACGACGACGAGCGACGACGGCGGCGGCGGCGGCGACGACAGCGATGGCGGCGGCAACGACCACGACGACGACGGATGAGAAGAAGACGCGGAAACGAAGACGCCAACGACGCATCGACCAGGACGAGGACGGGGGCAGGCGGGTGAGGCCGACGACGGCAGGAAGGAGAGCGGCGCTGCGCCGCTTCCTCCATGCTCCAGGTCCTCCTCCTCCTCCTCCTCCTCCTCCTCCAGCTCATCGTCCTCATCCTCTTGTTGTCGTCGTCCCTGCTCTCCTCTTCCAAAGCCCTCATTCCCCTCCCGCCCCGACCCCCCTCATCAGCAAGATCCGTTTCTTCCCTACCCCGGTTTCTACCGCCTTTGTCATTTCCTGCGTCCCTGTTCGTCCTCGTCCTGTTCTCTTCTCCCTTCTCCCTCCTCCTTGTCCCCATTATCGTTCTCTTCGTCCTCCTCCTCCTGACAAGTTTGTACGAACCCTGTTGTCTCTGAAGGCGGAATGAACATGAGCCAATCAGCTACGGCCAACGACTCACATGCACCACTGGGATTCCGAAACAACATTCTCCACAAACTCATACGAGATCCAAACGAGATGCTGCTCACCCAGTCGGAACGCTATAATCTAACAGCCCACATCGGAACGCTGTCATGCTCTAACGAAGGCCAGGCTCCTCCTCCACCTCCTCGCCCCCCTGCTCCTCCTCCCCCTCTGCCCTAAGCCCGAGGCCCTCGACGAAGACGGCGCGACAACGACAACAGCCACGACGACGGCGACCCATCTGGACGCCCCCCGGCGACAATAGAAGAGGAACAAAAAATATAAAAATTGGGAAATCCGTGCGGATTTCTTGGATCGGCGCTGGGCCCCCTCCATGGCGCGCGGAGCGCGCCAAGGGCGGCGCCGGAGGCATGCCGAACGTTTACGCTCATGCCGCATTCTGCCGTTGTTGGATTCTCCAGACGGCGATGGCGAGCGACGAACGGTTGCGGCGGTGCCGGCGGGCGCCATGGAGGGCAGCAGGCTAATTAGCGAGGGCCGCCGGCCGCAAGGCGGGCGCCGAGGGCGGCCTCTAGCCGCGGTGCAGGCCGTTGGCGAGCTTCCGCACGTCGCCGGGGCCCCTCACGGAGGCCTCGTGCGCGGGTCCCCGCGCCCACCGCGGGCGCTCTGAGCGATTCTACTCTTCCTTCTCTTCCTCCTCCTCCTCGTTCTCCTCCTCCTCCTCCTGCCCCTCCTCCTCCTCCTCCTCCTCCTCCTCCTCTTCCTTTTCCTCCTTTGCCTCCTTCTCCACCTCCTCCTGCGCGTCCTTCTCCTCCTCCTCCTCCTCGTCCTCCTCCCCCTCCTCCTCGTCCCCCTCCCCCTGCTCTCCTCCCTCCTCCTCCTCCTCCTCCTCCTCCTCCTCCTACCACCTCCTCCCCCTCCCCCTCCCCCTCCCCCTCCTCCACCTCCCCTCCCCTCCCCCTCCCCTCCCCCTCCCCCTCCCCCACCCCCTCCCCCTTCCCCTCCCCTCCCCTCCCCCTCAGTCCTCGCCTCGTCCTCGACCTCGATCCTCGTCCTCGTCCTCGTCCTCCTTCCCCCCCCCCCCCCCCCCGTTCCCCCCCCACCCCCCCCCTCCTCCTCCTCCTGCGCAAGACATTGCGCGCCAGAGATCCTCCGACGAGCAACTCGCATTGGAAAAGAAGAACGAGTTAGCTGAGCTCGAGAGGCAACACCTCACGAACACGCAGAACCTCGCCCCTGCCAACATGCTTATATTCACCTTTGTGCAATCGGTTCCACAGCTTAGTGGCCCAGGCCGCACGACGAGAAAGACACGGCTTCGACAGGGACGTGATTCGATCAGAGCAGAGAGCTCCGCACGAAGAACAGCCGACGAGCGTGACATCACCTGAAAGCACAAAACAAACGAGTTTGTGGGGCCTCAAACCGGCATCTCGAAAGCCCTTCGAAAGCGACACCGCGCGGTCGGGCAGAGAGGCTGGCGAGTCCTGCACAAGAACGAGGCGAGGTTGGGGAGGGCGTCCTCTCTTGACCTGCGACGGGTGGAACGTGTCGTCGCCCTCCCCAACCTTGGAGATCTACCTGCACCAAGCCTTTAGAATCTTGGCACGGTTGGCTATGGCCTCACGCTGAGCCTCAGGGATCCTAGACGCCTGAGCAGCCCATTTCGCAAAGCGATCAGCTAGAACATTTCCAGCATTCTGGCGCTTAGAGGCGCGACCGATACGGAAGTCCTGGAGGCGAGGGTGCGCTTTTATCTTCACAACGCGCCCAACTAACTCCTCGCCCCTGTCCTCCAGAAGTTGCCAAACCTCGCGCCAAAGTACAGCATGGGAGGACATAGGATGACAGCAGTCATCCTTGCCTCTCTTATACAATCCTTTCCAAACATAATCACTGTCAGTGTGAAACACGCTTCCAGGCATAGAATGGCGAAGAGCATAGCACATAGCAGTGAGTTCAGCTTCATTGATGGTGGGCAGGTGCTCAATCAAAGGCCCACATACGATGCAACACGGCATGCGAGCGCACGGGTAGAGAGCAACAACAGCCCATCCTGCAGCAGCAAACTGAGGCCAGTCTCCTTCAAAGACCGATCCGTCAAGAAATATGTCACCTGCAAGTTCCATGGGGGACCCCAGGAACCAGAAATCGCGATGCACTCCTGTCAGGTCGGGAGGGGGCACCTCAGGCAGGGGCACAAGACAACGCTCAACCAAGGCCAGAGCAAGAGGAGAGCTCACGGCGGCGGCGCTAAGCCCCTGGACAAACGTAGGAGGTTCCTCTTCCACCTGCAGGGTGCACTCACACACAGTGTGCCTGTGAAGTAGAGTGCCACTAACCTCTTCCTCACGCACATCTTTACAGACACGACAATAAGGTTCAACATCATACCCAGCACTCCATTGCCTATGCATGGGCCACTGGCCCCCCACAAAACACGAGCGCAGATAGGCCCTCTGCTCGGGGGAGGCTTTCGATTTTAAAAACTTGGCAATGGGCTGGACGAAGAATCCCTTGGAAAACTCAGGGAGGTTTAAATGATCGGCAACTTGCTTACACTGCCAGAGATAACAGGCATGCATGACCATTCTCTTAACGACAGACACACAAACTTGAGATGGGTCAATGACAGCATTCCCTGGAAAGTTCCACTCAGTCATGGAACAGACCTGGGCACCGACTCGCTTAAGAGTAGCGACGGCAGCCGAGAAGGGGCCCCGAATGGCAGACCAGGGAGATGCAATGCCTTGGAAGTGGCTCACAGCAGCAACGATGCCCGCCTCGATGGATCGTTTCGGGAGCCACTCTTCCCAAAAGGCTTGCAACAAAAACTTAACTGGGAGCCATGTGGCCCTGAAATCGGGTCCAGGTAGCGCGACGGGGCAATCATGAGAGCAAGAGTCCTGGAGCGCCCATCAGGATGATGATCTTGAAGCTTCCCAGCAAGAGGGCGTAACTGATTGAGCTCACCATTGTTGAGACCAAGAACAGCCGTGCCATAAGTAACTGCACCTTCCAAGGCCGCTCTGGACATGGTGCCAAGCGTCTTGCGCCTGGGACGCCCAGCCTTCAGCGTAGACCTGCGAGCCCTTCTCACAGAAACTGTAGCCAGGCGCTGCTTGACCACCGGTTTGCCACGAACTCGGCCAGCAGCAAAATCCACTCCAAGGTTGCGCTCAGTATTGGTATCAGTAACGCCCAATGACTTCAGCTTGCTCGCAAGGGCTCTGCGCACGACGATGGTGTTAGACAAAGCCCGACTCTTTTCAACAGCAACCTTCATCTGAATCTTAGTTAGCAACTTCAGCAACAACCTGGAAGCCCCACTGAGATCACGAACTACACGAGACGGTGAACCATGCCTCTGCAGCCCGAAGTCATCAGTATTAATGCTGAGCATGACACACCTGAAGGAATTCTGCACCTGACGCAGCGGCCCCAGGAGCAGAAGCTGCAACATGACCGTGGCGAAGTGACAGCCTGGCACGATGGTCTGCTCAACGTGGATGAGATCACTGACCACACCCTGCATGTCCAGCGTGCGAGGCATACGATGCATAGAAACCAAGAGCTTCAGCATCCATAGCGGAAACTCGCTCTCGATGGCGGCCTGAATCAAGTGATGATGCTTGACGAACTCAAAAGCTTTCTTGAGATCGAGCAAAATGGTTGCAGTAGACATACCTCTTACAGTTGAATACTCAGACCAGGCACTAGAAATCCATACACACTTCTCCGAGGAACGCCCTTTAACAGACCACCAGAAACTCTGGAAATTCTTCTTCTGCCAAACGTGGACCAGAGGCCTTCGGAGCCTGCATTGGATCCTACAGAGAACATGAAGGAGCCCAAGAGGCCGAACCCCGCCAAGACGCTTCAAGATGAAGACCACCCGAATCCAGGATCTAGGCCACTCTAGGTTGCTTTCAATAGACCCAATAATATCACATAGTATCTGCAGCGCTTCATCAGGTAACAATAGAAAATGCCTAGGAGGAACCTGATCGAACCCAGTCCCCGTGGAGGCCTTGAAAGTCTTTAACACCACCTTCAGCTGATCCACAGTAGGAGGAGGAGGAGGTTCTCCGAGCGACGAAGGCCAGACGAGTTCAGGATGAGCAGCGGACACTTGCCACCATCCTTCCCATTCGCGTTGCAACGCCTGCATCTCCTCACGAGAGGTGGCAGGCCTATGAGTACTATGCTCCATGCAAGAGGGCTGCCAAGCCGTAGGTAACGATGAGTACGAGTACAACGCTGACGCCCCATTTTCAGAATGCTTGTCAATCCAATGCTTCCAGTCTATCTCTTTTTGCTTGGCAGCCCTCTTGACTTCAGCATCAGCAGCAGCACGAGCCCAATGGAGAAGTACTTTCACCACTGGCGCAGGAAAAAGCCGCGCTTGCACAAGGCACCCTGGCCAAGCCCAATACAGCTCAGCATCAGGAAGAAAATGAGAACGAGAAAGCGACTCCAGACGATTGACCGACTCGCTCCATACCTTAAACGAACGCGGCTCCAGGAGGTCCTCAAGAGCTGCTGAAACCTTCTTCCACCAGACTCCAACTTGAGAGACTCGGGGAAACCTTGGAGGCCCAGGGCGCCTGAGGGTTTTGCTGGTAACTTTGAGGTCCACTGAGCGCCCAAGATACTTGTGAGAGTCCTCTGGAGCCACCTGAAAGATAGTAAGCCACTCATCCTCACACGCTCTGATGAAAAGCTTCCAACTGGCGTCAACGGGGTCACACTCGTCGACCTGCATACTAAGAAGATTCCACCGATCTGCGTCAGGAGGAAGCGCAGAACCTAGAGGCACAGCCGCAGGAAACCGCCGAGGAACCTGTACCACTTGGACGGTAGCATCTGCTGGCAGCGCCTTGAATCGCAATTCAACTGGATAATGCGGCGCAGTGGCAATATCAGTACGAACGGACACAACGCATTCTCGCGCGAGCGAGAAACTAACCACAAAATAGTCTATGGTGCTATTCGCTGGACGGCACGTACCACGATCAGGGTAAAAAAACACGAGCGTCGACAGCTGCAGGCCAACCACTCGATTGCAACTGAGCTGGCTCGATCTGCCAATCTGCGGCGACGACGAAAGGGGGCCCCACCTGCTTCAGAAAACTTCCGACCTTGGACAAACTGCTCCAATTGAACGCCCCCAGACCAGAAGAATGCTGCAAGTAAATGTTGACAAAAACGAAACCTCCTCGAACACATCCTCCAACATGGTGTGCCGTGGCCCTGCCAGGCCATAGAACCGTGTCGAAGCCCTGGACGCCCGAGAGGCCTATGTGCTTGGGAACCAGAGTAGCAAGCCCACCAGCGAGGCCCCCAGTGCTTTTTAAGGCCCCAGGAGACAGACTGGCCGAGTACCCCGACTTCCGAAGTTGACCTTCATGCGAATCACACTGCGAGCGGGTTAGGTGTGTCTCCTGCACTCCGATGCAATCGAAGCGGTCCTTACACTCCTGCACCCGCTCGAAGCTAGACCAAGTAGTAATATTAGCAGTCAGAAAATTCCACTCCTTTTTCATCTTCACATTGGGAGTGTTAAATACCTGACCTCTTCTTTTTGTCCCTAGTCGCCCAACTGAACTGCTCAGTCCTGGAACGCTTGAT